TTTTTTTTTGTTTTTCTAGCTTAAATGTTATGTTGCTGGGTTTTTAAATTTTTTTTGTGTCTTATAGTTATGATGGTAAAAATAATATTTTTGTCGGGTTACTGAAATGTAGCGAAAGATTTCCAGTCTGAACCAACTTGTTTTTTATTGTGGGCGGTATGAAAAGTTATTACCTTTAAAAAATTTTGTAATTTTTTGATAAGATCATCTTTAGGTTGCCAAGGAATTGGTTTCTCGTGAATTGAAAATAATGGAGCAGCAGACTTCTTTAGGTATGGCTATTTGTGACTCTATTGCGCGACTTGCTCTGCAGGCTGATGAATCTCTGTTTGTTGTATCTGTTTGGGATCAAGTGAAAAAGTTTGTAACTGGACCATTAATTTCGATTTTGCCGGAATGGTTGTATTTCATTCTGCTTGTTGTCGAGAAATTTTCTGTTAGTTTTGAACTCTAGAGATGACGTTTCACTACCTTATTTCTTCATGATTTCGAGATTTTCTTACGTTTGTGAGTATTTACTGGTGTAAGTTGAGAACATTTAAGTTCACTGAAGCAGGTTTCTGTTTAGGAAGTGATGGCAAAAGAAATTCAATTCATAAATAGCAAGAAGGGGATTTCTTGGAAACGATTGGACATAGAAGGTTTTCTGGGTATTTTAAAGGTTAGTTATTGGTCGTACTTTGGTGAAGTTACAGTTAACAGTTTTGTCATTTTTTATCAAGAAATAGTTTTATACTGTAGCTTTGTTACAGGACTTGGTAATGCTTATTTTTATTTATCAGCTCACTTCTAATTAAAAGGCTTTGTTCTTGATGTAAGGATATTCACATGATAGAGGGATGCTGTTTTGCAAATTCTGTTTTTCTGGCTGTTTACCGTCTCATTTTAAACACTGAAGCTTTGAGAGTATGGTTTTTTCAAATAATTATTGAAAAAACAATCTTAAAGTTTGTATAAGATAATAGATATGAAAATTGTTCACTATGAGTGAAGCTCTACCTTTTCTTTGTTGTTGAACCACAGGCGGAACTGACATTTGGCTATGGTGAATCTTGAGGTACCACTGTACGTAGTAAGTTATTATTCCTGCTTAAGACCGTGGATTATATGATATTTCTTTAAAGTATTTCTTTAAGAAATGCAAAAGTGAGGATGCATTTGTTCTGCTTGTTAAACTTCTTAGCCTCGCACAGACTGCTGGCAAATTTGAGAGTGTTTACAATGATGTTATTGATCCATGGCTGAACGAAGGAGACACGGAAAAGGTGATTTTTTCTATCTTTTGCAATGTTGTTCTTACTGTTTTCATAGCTTACCGAGATAAATTTGTCGATTAATTCAGTGTCTGGCGTTTTTCTAGGTTGTGGATCGGTCTTTGCAGCTCAATTATCGCCTGCTCTGCGATTTGAAGTTATCTCCACCTGAAGTAAGGCCTAATGCTTCACTAACAATTGATTTTTTAGCTAGGTAGATATGGTATTTTCTTAGTTGAAGTCTTCAATTCTTTGTGTTCTTTGTGTTTTAGGTTCTTTCAATTTTGACGCCTCATTTTTTGCAAAAGATGCATTTGGTTAATACAGCGAAAAAGCACCGCATCGTTGCACCATTAATGGAGAAAGTTTTGTTGGAGTTAGTCAAGGTTATTTTTTGATTTTGAAGGCATTTGCTGTCTTTTTCGTTAGAAACTTTAATTGCTACTTCTTAGGAGGTGATTTTGTTATGGAGATTTTTTCATATTAGAATATTGATGGCGATGGATGGACGGGCAATGATCTCTTTACCTTACTTGAACGGTTAGATGCGATTAATAGCAATGAAGTTCAAGGGTTCTCTTCTATCAGTTCAGTTTTTAAGAAGGCGTTTCAGAAGATGAATTTAGCGAACGTTGAAAAATATGTTAATAAAGTAAAAACAGTTTTTGTTTTGAGTCAGTTTTGTTTCTTTCGTCAAAATTGGTACTTTATTTTGTGAACTAGCAGATTGTTTTAATTTATTTACGT